GAGCAACCCTGCTGGGAACAAAGGCAAGCTTATTTAGCCTTGAAACTATTTACAGAGATACCCAGTAACATTGTTGAATTTTTGTTTCAAATGAAAATACTTTCGGAAATGCAGTTACTTTTTATATTATTTCTGTTAGTAACATGTTCATTTTACAAGTTTAGAAAGTATAAGTATTAAAGCAAACAACAAAATGACCCCACAGTTCCATCACTATTAACAGTTAGGTGACAATCATTCATTCCTTTTGTGAATACTCAAACATACTTTCATATTTTTTTTTTTAAAAAAGGGGACAACAATAGGTGCTAGTGAGTTCTTTAAAACTTAAAAAGGAGTTCCATCCCATCAGATGGGCTAACATTAAAATATCAACTGTTGGTGAGGATATGGAACGACAAAAAGTCTCATATATTGTAAGTAGTGTATAGCTTAGCAAAACTGCTTTGGAAAAGTTGACTACCAAACTGTATCTACCAAAGCTCAACATTATATGGAATATGAACGGAAAATTCTACTCCTAGTTATATACAGATAGAAATGCATACACACACAAGAATGTACAAAGCAACACTATCTGTAGTAGCCCTGAACCAGATACAAGCAATGGTATACTGGATGTATCATATATGTGCATGATGGAAAACAGTCCAGAAATAATAATGATCACTGCTTCACCCACCAGGAATGTGTCACAAATGGATATTAAGCTAAAGAAGCCAAACAAAGAACACATACTGTATGATTCCCTTTATATAAAAATTAGCAACAGGCAACACTAACCTGTGATGTTAGAAGTCAGGATGTGGTTGCCTGTAGGAGGATTCTGGGTGCTGATAATTTCTATTTTTTGAACTGGAAGGTGAGTACATGATTATGTTCATTTCAAAAGTTCATCCTAGTGTGCACATTTTAATTTTATACTTTGCTAAATGAACTTTAATTAAAAAGTTTACTTTGGGGAATTCCCTGGCCACCCAGTGGTTAGTACTTGGCACCTTCACGGCCAAGGGATTGGTTCAATTTCTGGTTGAGGAACTAAAATCCTGCAAGCTGCACCACAAAAAAATAAATAAAATTTACAAATACTGTATCACCAACACTTGATAGAAATAAGGATGAGAGCATATGGGAAAGACAGGCTCACTGATTTAGAAGATTTGTATCCTGAACATGAGTACCCTTACCAATTTATTTCATGTTTTCCTTTATTATGTGTGCCCCAAAAATGATGTAAGGTTGAACGGTTCTTTCAGTAAGCACAAAAGGAAATTTCTGTGATAAAAAAAATGAATTTGCTGCCACATGTAAAGCTCTGGAAAATCAATAATGAAATCTTTTAATTACCATATTCACTTCTTAAACTCCCTCAATTTTTAAGAAATATAGAATTGTCCTAATAAACAATAATTTTAACTGTTATTGGCTTACTATATATTGGCACTGTACTAACATTTTACTTTCATTATCTACTTTAATTCTTGCAGGAACAGTATGAGTTAGGAATCTTCCAAATTATAAAGGTAGTAGCTTGTAGCTATAAAAATCTAGTAAAAAGTGTGTCCAGTAAGAAATACAGACACTCCTTAACATGTCATTCCCCTATAGATATCAGTGATTAACACATTGGTATTTGTCCTTCCAGCTCTTTCGTATGTATGTGGAAACACACGTGTGCACAGAACAGATGCAGTGATTAAGAGATCATAGTATAAATACATACATAGATAAATACACCCCTTTGGGCGGCTTTACTTGCTTGGTGACCCCTGGAAATCCTTCTGTGTCTGTCTGTGCATAGACCTCTTGGGTTTTTAATAGCTACAGAGATCATTTAACCATTCACTGTAAGCAGGCACTCAACCAGGAGCACTGCAGACTTTTTGGATTGGGTTTTTTTTTTTGGACTGAATCACAAAGCATATGGGATCTTAGTTCCCTGAAATTTGCTCAGTCGTGTCCGACTCTTTGCGACCCCATGGACTATACAGTCCATGGATTTCTCCAGGCCAGAATACTGGAGTGGGTAGCCTTTCCCTCCTCCAGGGGATCTTCCCAACCCAGGGGTCAAACCCAGGGCTCCCGCACTGCAGGCGGATTCTTTACCAGCCAAGCCACCAGGGAAGCCCCTTAGTTCCCTGAAACAGGGCTCAAACCCGCAGCCCCTGCATGGGAAGCATGCAGTCTTAACCACTGGACCACCAGGTAAACCCCTGGAGTGGATGATTCTTTACAGATCTGCCCTGCCCCCCATCTTCTGAGCCAGTCCACACCGTCTGGGGGTGTTTCTCCCAGGGTCACTCTCACTTCCCTAGATGACCCCATGCCCCGGGGCTGCTCTCACCTTTTGAGCCAGACTTCATTCTGTCTACGGAATGGGTACCTCTCTAAATAAACCCACCTCTCTTCCCTATCACTTCTGTTTTTCACTGAATTCTTTCTGGGATGAGACACAAGGCACCTGAGCTGCATTGAGGCCTGAGACCAGGTGTGTGATTTTAGTTAAAAAGACAGAGGGTTCAAGTCCCACCCGAGCCATGCAGTTTCAGCTACACCCTAGAAACAGCCTTCTGATGCTGGTTTCACAACGAGCTCCCTCCCAGCACTGCCTCACTTTGGATGTGACTCCCCATACCCTGGCGTGGGCAGAGGGGCCTGGAGCAGGGATGGCAGGTGGGTAAGGAAGGCGTGGATTTCAACGGTCCTTCTCTACCCGAGCCAGAGTCCATGGGGTCTTCCTGGGACAGACTCCCCCCCCTCTGTCCTCTGCTGTAGCTCCTCCCTGAAGAACCTGGATAACAGTATCTGATGCCCATTCCTGAGTTGTTTTACAGATGCTCAAACTCCTGCCAGGTGGAAGATGTTTAATTACTTGATGACCACAAGCACAGAGCCGCCAGGTCTCCTACAGCCCGACTGATGATGTTTGCCCCTGTGACACCCTGCGACCCCCTTCCCTCATCTGGTCTTTAAACCCCCATCCTTTTTCTAACTTTTAATTTTATACTGGAGTATAGCCTATTAAGTGCCTCCCCTGCCCCCCGCCTCCAGTTCGGATGGTAAAGAATCCACCTGCACGACAGGAGACCTGGGTTCGATCCCTGGGTTGGGAAGATCCCCTGGAGGAGGGCATGGCAACCCACTCCAGTATTCTCACCTGGAGGAGCCCCTTCGGCAGGGGAGCCTGGCGGGCTACAGCCCATGGGGTCGCAAAGAGTCGGACACGACTGAGCGACAGCACAGCCTGTTCACCATGTTGTAATAGTTTCAGGTGCACAGCAGAGGGATTCAGCCATACATGTACGTGTATCCATGCTTCCCAACTTCTCGCCCATACAGGCTGCCATCCATTGTATTAAGTCACTGAGATACAGCGAGGTTAAGTCGAAGAGTGAAGGTCATAGAGCTGCTAAGTGAAAACCCTTCCCTGAAACCCGCGGGTGAGTTTGGGCTTTTTGAACACCAGCTGTCCCAGATTACTTGTATGGCCAGAAAACAAATACTGCACTTTCCTTCACCAATAAATAAAAACATAAACAAAAAACAAAGACCTGTCCCATGCATCATGGAATGTTTGCCAGCATTCCCAGCCTCAACCCACTGGAAACCAGTAACAAACCACCTCTCCCCCACCCACCCACATCATAACAAACAAAAAAAAATGTCTCCAGACATATTGTCTGCTGGGAGACAGAACTCCTTCCCTCCCACCAGCAGTGAGAACCACTGGTATAGGATATTTACGTTGTTATTTTCAACGATGTGAAAGGGATTCACCAAACAACTTGGTGGGATTTATTATAAGCTACTTTTTACAGGATGGGAAAACCAAGGCTAGGAAGGTTGGCTGCCTGAAGTCCCACTGCTCTAAGCAGGAAAGGGGTGATAGGAACCCAGTCTATTCCTGTCCCAGAGTCTGTGGTTTTAATCTTCAGCTCCACTGTAAGTTGACTATCCAGAGGTTGTTTTAGAAGCCACTCTAGAGGAGGTTGTCTGAACAGTATCACTAACTGTTGAGAGTAAAATAAATGTAAAAGCAGTCTTAGTTCTCACAAACATCTTTCAGTTTTTTCAGACAGAACCAGGAGTCAAAATTCTTCCAGCTTTCTAAAAGGTGCCCGTAGCAGAACAAGTCATCTGCAATAAACATTTAAACAGGAAACCTCATGAATTTTATAAGGAGCTGAGGTTAGTATCACCACAGTTAATATATCCAACAATGATGAAGTGCCCTGAAAGCTAAGCAAGTTTATGCTGGCAGCCAGATCCAAGGTCGGGGTCCCAGACCTGTCTTCATGCAGTGAGTGCAGACACATATAAAGCTCCTACCTCACACGGCAGCCAACCGCTAGTCCCCAGAGCTGGCCGACATCTCAGAACCCTGAGCAACTGAAAACAAGGCAGATCGAGCAACAGAGGGAGAGCGAGACAAATTCAGAATTAATCTGTTAATTAACAGCTGTTCATGTTGACCGAGTGTTGCAGTCAGCTGTTCCTTCCTTCCATTCCACAAATACTTAAGCCCTTCCTAGGTGTCAGATGGGGCACCAGGTGCTCCAGATACAGATACCAGAGGCATGAAGCATGCCTTGAGTTAAGCATGTGAAAGACGTTCGGTAACTAGTTGCTTAAATAACCGATCAGTGGTGAACCTAGCAAGGTAGGGGGATGGGAGAGGCTGCCTTAAAAACATGTTGACTCTTCTCAGTATTATAAAACAGCCTAAATGGGGGAAGAATTTGAGAAAGAATCGGTACATGCATAACTGAATCACTTTGCTGTACACCCAAAACACAACACTGCCAATCAACTATACTCCAATACAAAATAAACAGTTTAAAAAACATGCTGAGCTCTTGAGAATGGACTATGAATGAACACTCAAGACTGGCCAGGGCCTGAGTGGACCTGTGTTGATGCTGGCTCATGGGACAGCTGAGGAAATGGGAGAAGATAAACAGCGCCAGGATTAGACGAAGCCGGGAACATGGGGTCACGTCATGGATTTTACTCTCTGCTCCGACACAATCCAAGGTAGGGGGGATCAATGGAGGTTTTGTGAGCAGTGGAGTCTCATGATTACATTTGGAGTTTCCTAAGTTCTTTTTTGTTAGAATATTATTACAGTTATCTTACTCTTACAGAAAAGGAAATCAGAGCCCAAATCTAATCTCTAGGCTCACCTGCCTACTATAACATATTCTCTCCCCCCTAGAAAAATAAGATAGAGCGGGTCAGGATTATTGTTTTCCTCTTTTTAACAAGTAATGACTCCTTCACAGCAGTGACCTTAAAATTTCCCCCTTACTGGGGTTTCTCGGACCTCTGGCAAAACAATGAACCAAGTCCTCGAAAGCTTAACAGACGATATGCTGCTATTGATTCTCTTCTTCTGTTTTGTTTACTTTTCATACCTGCAAAATGAAAATATTCCTTCTGATGAATTACCTGATGGAAGAATAATACGATGAACAAATACTGATTGCTATTAGAGTTCTTTTTTTTTTTTTTCCCAGATGTGGAATCTGTTTTTTTTTAATTAATTAATTTTTTTTTATCACAACCATAGTGTATCTTTTTTTTTTTTTTTTTACATGTATTCCCCATCCCGGTCCCCCCTCCCACCTCCCTCTCCACCCGATCCCTCTGGGTCTTCCCAGTGCACCAGGCCCGAGCACTTGTCTCATGCACCCAACCTGGGCTGGTGAACTGTTTCACCCTAGATAATATACGTGTTTCAATGCTGTTCTCTTGAAACATCCCACCCTCGCCTTCTCCCAGAGTCCACAAGTCTGTTCTATACATAGGAGTCTCTTTTTCTGTTTTGCACATAGGGTTATCATTACCATCTTTCTAAATTCCATATATATGTGTTAGTATACTGTAATGGTCTTTATCTTTCAGGCTTACTTCGCTCTGTATAATGGGCTCCAGTTTCATCCATCTCATTAGAACTGATTCAAATGAATTCTTTTTAATGGCTGAGTAATATTCCATGGTGTATATGTACCACAGATGCTGATGGGCATCTAGGTTGCTTCCATGTCCTGGCTATTATAAACAGTGCTGCAATGAACATTGGGGTGCACGTGTCTCTTTCAGATCTGGTTTCCTCGGTGTGTATGCCCAGAAGTGGGATTGCTGGGTCATATGGCAGTTCTATTTCCAGCTTTTTAAGAAATCTCCACACTGTTTTCCATAGTGGCTGTACTAATTTGCATTCCCACCAACAGTGTAAGAGGGTTCCCTTTTCTCCACACCCTCTCCAGCATTTATTGCTTGTAGACTTTTAGATAGCAGCCATCCTGACTGGTGTGTAATGGTACCTCATTGTGGTTTTGATTTGCATTTCTCTGATAATGAGTGATGTTGAGCATCTTTTCATGTGTTTGTTAGCCATCTGTATGTCTTCCTTGGAGAAACGTCTGTTCAGTTCTTTGGCCCATTTTTTGATTGGGTCATTTATTTTTCTGGAGTTGAGCTGGAGGAGTTGCTTGTATATTTTTGAGATTAATCCTTTGTCTGTTGCTTCGTTTGCTATTATTTTCTCCCAATCTGAGGGCTGTCTTTTCACCTTGCTTATAGTTTCCTTTGTTGTGCAAAAGATTTTAAGTTTCATTAGGTCCCATTTGTTTATTTTTGCTTTTATTTCTAAAATTCTGGGATGTGGGTCATAGAGGATCCTGCTGTGATTTATGTCGGAGAGTGTTTTGCCTATGTTCTCCTCTAGGAGTTTTATAGTTTCTGGTCTTACATTTAGATCTTTAATCCATCTTGAGTTTATTTTTGTGTATGGTGTTAGAAAGTGTTCTAGTTTCATTCTTTTACAGGTGGTTGACCAGTTTTCCCAGCACCACTTGTTAAAGAGGTTGTCTTTTTTCCATTGTATATCCTTGCCTCCTTTGTCAAGGGTAAGGTGACCATAGGTTCGTGGATTTATCTCTGGGCTTTCTATTCTGTTCCATTGATCTATATTTCTGTCTTTGTGCCAGTACCATACTGTCTTGATGACTGTGGCTTTGTAGTATAGTCTGAAGTCAGGCAGATTGATTCCTCCAGTTCCATTCTTCTTTCTCAGGATTACTTTGGCTATTCGAGGTTTTTTGTATTTCCATACAAATTGTGAAATTATTCGTTCTAGTTCTGTGAAAAATATCGTTGGTAGTTTGATAGGGATTGCATTGAATCTGTAGATCGCTTTGGGTAGTATGGCCATTTTGACAATATGCCACACAAAAAAGAAAACTACAGGCCAATATCACTGATGAACATAGATGCAAAAATCCTTAACAAAATTCTAGCAAACAGAATCCAACAACATATTAAAAAAATCATACATCATGACCAAGTGGGCTTTATCCCAGGAATGCAAGGATTCTTTAATATCCGCAAATCAATCAATGTAATACACCACATTAACAAATTGAAAGATAAAAACCATATGATTATCTCAATAGATGCAGAAAAAGCCTTTGATAAAATTCAACATCCATTTATGATTAAAACTCTCCAGAAAGCAGGAATAGAAGGAACATACCTCAACATAATAAAAGCTATATATGACAAACCCACAGCAAGCATCACCCTCAATGGTGAAAAACTGAAAGCATTTCCCCTGAAATCAGGAACAAGACAAGGGTGCCCACTCTCACCACTACTATTCAACATAGTTTTGGAAGTTTTGGCCACAGCAATCAGAGCAGAAAAAGAAATAAAAGGAATCCAGATAGGAAAAGAAGAAGTGAAACTCTGTTTGCAGATGATGTGATCCTCTACATAGAAAATCCTAAAGACTCTACCAGAAAATTACTAGAGCTAATCAACGAATACAGTAAAGTTGCAGGATATAAAATTAACACACAGAAATCTCTTGCATTCGTATACACTAACAATGAGAAAACAGAAAGAGAAATTAAGGAAACAATACCATTCACCATTGCAACAAAAAGAATAAAATACTTAGGAGTATATCTACCTAAAGAAACAAAAGACCTATACATAGAAAACTATAAAACACTGATGAAAGAAATCAAAGAGGACACAAACAGATGGAGAAATATACCGTGTTCATGGATTGGAAGAATCGCTATTAGAGTTCTAAGAACAAAAAAATTCTCAGTGATTCTAAGTCCAGGCAAGCACCAGGTATGAGATGTCATTTTAAAATCTGCCCTCCTAAACGCACCATCTGGAAAGCCACTGCTTTCTTATTTTACTGGTGATCAAGTAGTCTCCACAGCATCTGAGCTGACCCTTTCCAGAGAGTCAAAAATCAAATTCTTAAAACACTAGATACAAAACTACCATCTGATCCAGCAATCCCACTCCTGGGCATATAGCTGTGCTAAGTCACTTCAGTCATGTCCGACTCCTTGTGACCCCACAGACTAGCCCGGCAGACTCCTCTGTCCATGGGATTTTCCAGGCAAGAACGCTGGAGTAGGCTGCCAATTCTTCCTCCAGGGGATCTTCCCAGGAATTGAACCCACCTTTCATGTCTCCTGCATTGGCAGGTGGGTTCTTTACCACTAGCACCACCTGGGAAGCCTGGGCATATATCAGGACAAAATTATATATCAAAAAAGACACACGTACCCTAATGTCCATTGTGACATTATTTGCAATAGCCAAGACATGGAAGCAACCTAGATGTCAGATTGTCACCTGACAAGCACAGGATGACCACTTCACTTCACAATACAGAGGAGTAAAAACCTGAAACGTTTTGCCCATTACCCTGGTGATACATTTCTCTCAGGAACTTATCACACATGTCTTGCTCTTTAATTAAGCTATCTCTCATCTTCACTCGGTCACGTTACATCTCATTTGTTCAATGAGCTGCAGGAACTAACCATGAATAATGTTTTTCACAGCTGTTTTTAATTCCCTGGCCTCAATGTTACAGGTTTTGTTGGTTAAATCATTTTGTTGCAAAGTGTAATTTCTCAGGGTGCCTGGTTTCTTCATCTGTAAAATGTAAAGAATTTGGATTTGACACTCCTTCTGAGTATTTCCATCCTTTCCTTTAGTCCTGCCATTATTCAAATGTAAGAGTAATTTGAGAAATAGGACCAGTGAGTTGCATTTACCCCTTCAGTTTTACAGAATCTTTTTTTCTGTAACTTGATACCAAACGTTGCGTACTTTGTCCACACTGTTGGTTTTTGAGAAAAATGAATACAACCAGGCTTCTTGCAGCAGCATTGGATGAGAGCATCCATTGTTTGCCAGTGGAGTTCAAAAATCAGATATTCTAGTTAAACAGCAGAGGGACATGCGACTAGATCCATTCTGTGCTTGGTTTTGGTAATATCAAAGGTGAGTTATGCCAGCAAATGCCGGAGAGGACATGTGTGGACAAAAGGGAGCCCTCCTACATGGTTGGTGGGACTGTAAATTGGTACAATCACTATGGAGGACAGTACAGAAGTTTGTTAAAAAAACTCCATCAAGAGCCACTGTATGACCCCACTCCTGGGCGTGTAGCTGGACAAAACTATAATTTGAAAAGGTACATGCACCTTCATGTTCACTGCAGCACTATTTACAAGAGCCAAGACGAGGGAGCAAACTAAATGACCATCCACAGAGAAACGGATGCAGAAGATGACACACACACACACCACCCATCATGGATCACAGCCTTGTCATGATGAAGGGGCTTGCATAACTCAATGAAGCTACGAGCCATGCCATACAGGGCTACCCAAGACAGATGGGTCATAGTGGAGAATGCTGACAAAACATGGTCCACAGGAGGAAGGAATGGCAAATCACGCCAGTATTCCTGCCTCAAGAACCCAGGAACAGTGTGATAAGGCAGAGATGATACTGGAAGATGAGCCTTGCCCCCCCAGGTCAGAAGGTGTCCAATATGCAGAGGGCACTTACTAACAGCTCCAGGAAGAATGAAGCAGCTGGGCCTAAGTAGAAATGATGCCCAGTTGTAGGTGTGTCTGGTGGTGAAAGTAAAGCCTAATGCGGTAAAGAACAATATTGCATAGGAACCTGGAATGTTAGGTCCATGAAGC